CTCACCTAACTTTCAGGCCCACCCAAGCTGTTGCCAGTTGCTTAATCATAGGATTGACCTGTCTTGGATCCTGCTTCAGGTTTTCCTTAATTCTTTCAAACAAGCAGCATCTGGTCACAGATAGCCTCATACCTCTGATTCAGTAATACTCAGAAACAGCCCTGGCCGGTTTGGCTCAGCGGTTGGAGCGTCGGCCTGCGGTACAGAGAGACCCAGGTTCGGTTCCCGCTAAGGGCATGTACCTCGGTCGCAGTTTGTCCCCGGCCCTGGTTGGTCGTGCGGGTGGCAGCCACTCGATGTGTCCCTTCACGTCAATGTTTCTCTCTCTCTCTCCCTCTCTCTCCCTCCCGCTCTATCGAACAAAAAATGGAAAAATGTCCTCGGCTGAGGATAAAAAAAAAAAAAAAAAAAATACACAGAAACAAACATAGGGAGGCAGCCAAAATGAGACATAGAAACAGGTCCCAAATAAAAGAACAGAACAAAACCCCAGGAAAAGAACTAAGAGAAATGGAGATAAGCAACCTAACAGATGCTGAGTTCAAAATACTGCTTATAAGGATGCTCAATGAATTTAGTGAGAACTTCAGTGAACTTAGTGAGGGCCTCAAGAGCATAAAAAAGGACCAGTCAGAAATGAAGGAGGCATTAACTGAAATAAAGAATAATTTACACAGATTCAATAGTAGAGTAGGTAAAGCTAAGAAGCAAACCATCAATTTGGAATATAAGGAAGCAAAAAATACCCAATCAGAACAGCAAAAAGACAAAAGAATCCAAAAAAATGAGGAGAGTGTAAGGAGCCTCTGGGACAACTTCAAGCGTGCCAACATTCGCATCTTGGGGGTGCCAGAAGAAGAAAGAGAACAAGAAACCGAAAACCTATTTGAAACAATAATGGCACAAAACTTCCCTAACTTAGTGAAGGAAACAGACTTGCACAGAGAGTCCCAAACAAGATGAACCCCAAAAGGCCCACACCAAGACACATCATCATCAAAATGCAAAAGATTCAAGACAAAGAGAGAATCTTAAAAGCAGCAAGAGAAAAGCAGTTTGTTACCTACAAGGGAGTTCCCATAAGACTGTCAGCTGATTTCTCAAAAGAAACTTTGCAGGCCAGAAGGGAGTGGCAAGAAATATTCAGAGTGATGAAAAGCAAGAACCTACAACTAAGATTACTCTATCCTGCAAAGCTGGCGTTTAGAATCGATGGCCACATAAAGACTTTCCCAGACAAGAAAAAGTTAAAGGAGTTCATCACCACCAAACCCTTATTATATGAAATGATGAAGGGTCTTTTTGAAGAAAAAGATAAAATATATGAACAAACAAAATGGCAATGAATACATATCTATTGACAATTGAATCTATAAACAAAATGAACAAGCCGAACAGAAACATTCTCATGGATACAGAGAACATTTTGTTGGTTGCCAGATGGAAGGGGGGTTGGGGGAATGGGTGAAAAAGGTGAAGGGATTAAGAAGTACAAATTGGTTGCTAGACTGACAAACCTCAAAGGGAAGGGGGTTGGGGAGTGGGAAGAAATAAACCAAAGAACTTATATGCATAATCAATGGACACAAACAACAGTTTGGGAAAAGGAGGGAGAGGGGTGGGAGTGAGGAGGAGGGGGTCAATGGGGGAAAAATGAGGAACATCTGTAGTACATTCAACAATAAAGATAAAAAAAAAAAAAACTGCTGCAGAAAGTCATGCCACAGGACAACAGAAGCAATTACCAATTACTAAATACTATGTGGTGTGATCACTTGCTCATCATTTACCGAACATTACTAACGAGCGGTGACTCTTGAATTTAAATATGTAGGCTATAGTTGCAAATATGTAGTATTTATTTATGTGAGCGAAATTACTACAGTGTTTTCCAACACATGGCCTATTAACTAAAATGTGTTAAAATTAACAGTGAATTAATAGCAAAAAAAAACAAAAAAACCTGTTAATATGATTATAAGAAAATCTTGGTTAAATGAACAGAGTGTTAATTTTCACATATGACATACGAACCAGAAATTTTTGTCCGTTAAATCTAAAATCAGTTAAATCAAGGTCCACATACGAAGGTTTACTGTATTTGTTAGCTGTTTGTTTCATTCATCGAATGAAAGCTCCCTCAGAACAGGGAACAGGGTCTTTTATTCTCTGGTAAATACCCAACACTTTAAAAAATGCCTGGCACACAGGCATGCAATAAATATTTCCTGAATAATAAATAACCAAAAATCAGAGTAAATTGTGCCATATATGAGATTTCTTAGAATTAGGAACTGAAATAGCTACATTATCAACTGGACATGCTACAAACAACAAACTCCATCCTAACCACTAAACTCCCTTTAATACAACAGACGTGTTTTTCCATTCATAGTTGTTTCATACATAGCTTTCATAAATGCCTGCAGTGATACAGTCCATTTAAAGAATGCTTGTAGCCTGGAAAACTTACCAACAATAATAGAATGATCTTTTAGCAAACAATATAATGAAATAAAGTTGATTAGGATAAAGAATTTATTTTCAGTTGATGGAGCCAATTCAAGTCATCACCTCTTTCCACACAATTACCCTATACCCTGCAGAACTAGAGTTCAAGAATCTTAATATGATTGAAGAAATTCAGGACCAGAAAATCTCCAGATGAGCAGTACAGTATATTTCTACAGAATGGATTATATTTACATATAGTTTCTTTGTTGTGCTAAACTGAATGCTGCTCAAAATAAGTTTAGAATCCCTAATATAATACAAACGAATATATTAGTAGTCATACCTTCTACTCGATATAGACTACAGACTCAGGCAATTTCAAGAGCAGATAATAGCAAAAAAGATACCCAGTTCTCTTTTTACACATCTCTTTTCTGCTAAAATCAATTACTTCTACAGCAGTTCCCAAGTTAAACATAGTACATTCCAAAAGTGATTTGTTGGCTCATTGCTTGGGCATCATGAATGCCTTTTTGCCCCAGGGCATCGTTGTTATAAATGGTGGTGAGGTGATGCAGTCTAGTACTGTACTACAGGTACATCATAGGGTTTTGTGGCCTGGCAACCACCACTACGTATTTCATTTATTTACACTTTGTCTCATTCATTAAAAGGGCGGGAGGAGGGGGTTTACAGATGAATTATGGTATGAAACAATTTAATGAAATTTTTAGTACTGAAATGTCTAAACAAGTCTTTTTCATTGAAAAAGTTTAATCTTAGCCCTGACCTGTTTGGCTCCACGGTTAGAGGACAGCCTGCGGACCAAAGAGTCCCGGGTTTGATTCCAGCCAAGGACGCATGCCTTGGTTGCAGTTCGTCCCCTGCCCCAGTTGTGGTCCTGCGGGTAGCATCCAGTCGATGTGTCTCTCTCACATCGATGTTTCTTTTTCTCTTTCTCTCCCCCCCTCCCCACCATTCTGTCTGAAGATAAATGTAAAAATATCTTCGGGTGAGGATTAAAAAAAAGTTTAAGCCCTGGCCGGTTTGGCTCAGCGGTTAGAGCGTCCACCTGCGGTCTGGAGAGACCCGGGTTCGGTTCCCGCTAAGGGCATGTACCTCGGTTGCAGTTTGTCCCCGGCCCTGGTTGGTCGTGCGGGTGGCAGCCACTCGATGTGTCCCTTTCACATCGATGTTTCCCTCTCTCTCTCTCTCCCTCCCACTCTATCTGTGCAAAAAAATAAAAATAAATAAATAAAAAGTTTAATCTTAAATTGGGGCCAACCACCTAAATTCAGCTTGAAAATAAGGTTTGAGCCCTGGCCAGTGTGGCTCAGTTTGTTGAGTGTGTCATCCCTTGTACCCAAAGTCTGCTGGGGTCCTTTCCCTGTCAGGGTACATGCCCAGGTTGTGGGGGTCAATCCTCTGTAGGGGGTGTGCAGGAGACAGCTGATAAATGTTTCTCTCTCATATAGATCTTTCTCTCTCCCTTCTCTTCTAACATATTTTTTTTAAAAAGACATGTTATCTTTAGCTCTGGCCGGTTTGATTCAGCGGTTAAAGCATTGGCCCGCGGACCAATGAGTCGCAAGTTCAATTCCAGTCAAGGGCACATACCTTGGTTGCAGTTCATCCCCACCCCTGGTCAGGGTCATATAGAAGGCAGCCAGTCAATGTGTCCCTCTCACATTGGTATTTCTCTCTCTCTCCCTCCCTCCTACTCTATCTGTGAATAAATGGGAAAATATCCTTAGGTGAGGATTAAAAATATATATATATTCTTGCCCAGGTGGTGTGGCTCAGTGGTTGAGCGTCAACCCATGCATTAAGAGGTCACTGGTTTGATTCCCAGTCAGGGCACGTGCCCAGGTTGTGGGCCCAATCCCCAGTGGGGGGCATGCAGGAGGTGGCCAATTGATGTTCTCTCTCATAGATGTTTCTATCTCTCTCTCCCTCTCCCTTCTTCTCTCTCTAACATTAATAAAGAAAAAACATTTTTAATATATATATATTCTTTAAAATACATTTTATAATGCAAAGAACAATAAAGTACTATTATGGGCAATTCACAGAAAATTAGAATTATTTTATCACCATAAATTCAAATAACTTCTAAAATGTGTTCAGAAGTCAGGGACAAATTTTCATTTTAAGGATAACAAAAGTATAAGTGAACTGTTAATACACTCACTTACCCCAAACCAACTCACCAAAAGTAAAAGAACTTCATTCACATCTGTGACCAGTGTTGGTCCATACCCTGACATATGAGTCAGAGTCAAAAACCATGCAAAACTATTCCTAAAAAAGTATTCATATCCCCAGGAGAGTCTCTAAGGTGGCACTTGGGCAAGTTCAATGCAGTCATTGGGGTGGGGCACATTGTCCAGACATGGGGGTCCTGATGTGGAGGCCATGGTTGGCCATCATAAAGATTGCAAGTCTCTTTAAACTTAAGTGTAAAATCTGTACTACTGTAATTTTAACAATGTTTGCACCTTTTATCAGATAATGAAGGGGTACATAGTGACACCAACCAGCCTTACCCTCAAAATACAGAAAACCAGGGATTTTCGTAAAGAAGTCAGGCTTTGGCATTAAAACACCTGAATCTGGTTTCAGGGCACAGCATTGTTCTTCTAGTTCCTCCTCACAGCAAGACCATTATTAGCCCCATATTATTGTCACATGGCCCCAAAGCAGGCTTCACCACCTCTCTGAGGCTTCAGTTTCCCAACTGTAAAATAAAGTGACTATTATTACTACTACTATTTGCGAAAATAGAGATTATCATCTGATGGGGTGAAATTTATTCATATCCCTATGAACATATACAATCAAATGTCCTAAAAGTAGGATCTGAATGGGGGAGGGGTAATGCTTCCTCTTTAGAGAAACAAGAATTGTGTGTGTCCATATATGGCAGCCTAATTCATGTTTATGGCTGGATCTAAAAACTCATTTATTGAATAATCTAGTCCTGCTAAGTCTCCATCATAAAATATATATATATATATATATAGAGAACATGACCAAAGGATGTTCTAACAGTTACTTATTTGAAAACCAGGAATGTATTTTCCTCATTATTGTCAGACGCTTTCTCCATACTTTCATTCACTTATTTCAGATACAAGTTGCTAATACATCAAAAAAGTATTCTATCAATTCCTATATGATGATCAATGTGAACTGGCTAAATTCAAATATATGAGAATCACCAAAATGTAGAAACTTCTTGGCGTATATTAATAGTATCACATATCAATATGCAAGTTATCACAAACCTTTCCCTGAATTTTCAACAGCACCACACGTGTCTTTTTGAAATTCCTACCTCCCTAAGACTTCCAGGACATCATCACTCTCACCTGGTTTTCATTGGTCTCATCACTAGCTGCCTCTCTTTTCACAGCAGAGATTCCTCTTCCTCTGGCACACCTCAGTGCTTCCCAAAGCATGGGATCTATACCCACTTTAGGTGGCACATATATAATAATGAATCATGTCATGAGAAAATTAGCCTGTCAGGCCCTCAAGCCTTATAATTACAAAGTCTTACTGTTTTTCACTTCATTCTGGTTTCTTATTTAACCGGAGTAAACTCAGGCTCAGAGGATTTAGCAGGCAACAGTATCTAGCTAAAATTCAATACGATTATTTGTTGTCATCACTTTAATTTTCCATTGGCAAGTATTTAAAGCAAGTGATATTACTTTGCCACTTACAGTGCCAATATAAAACTTCCCTTTAAAATAAATGTATTTAATTAAAAGAGTCATTTAAAGAAAGATACTGCATTTTGGAGTGGTCCTCAAAAACAGATGTGTCAGAAACACTGCTCTGACCCAAACTGGCTGTTTTTAAATTCAGTTCTTTCTTCACATTTTCTTACTTCTGTGATAACACCAAATTCTCAGTGAAGTTCCAGATTTCAATACAGTACCAGCACATGTAATTCAATACCTCCAAATGAAACCCGTTCTCTCCAGCATCACTTCCATCCTCACCATCAAAAACTAGCCAAATTCTCCTTTACCACCACTCACACACTCTCAAGACCTAGACATTATCTTTGACTCATCCCTCTCTATTCCTTGTTTTATTTGCTTTTTGTATTATTCTAGCAGCTACTAACTCATTAATTCTACAATTTAATCATTCATTCCACAAACACCTGTTGTTTTCCTGCTGCATATAAATAAAATTATATCGTTTTAGAAAGCCATTTCTTTAAAAACTTCACAATCTATGAGAAGAGACAGGCAGCCTTGTGGACTCTTTCTCTAAAAATTGGGGATGGGCAGGAATAGGACACAAGATGGGGCAAGCATCCTAATTTCAGACTCTCGTCGTATCTTCTTGCCTGGCCTCTAAACTGACCTTTGTAAGGGTCGTTGCCCAATACATTATACATTATACACACTGCTGCTGGAATAATATTTCTTTTTTTTTAATCCTCACCTGAGGACATTTTTTCATTTCTTGTTCAGATAGAGTGGGAGGGAGAGAGAGGAAGAGAGAGAGAGAAACATCGACGTGAAGGGGACACATCGAGTGGTTGCCACCCGCACGACCCAACCAGGGCCAGGGACAAACTGCAACCGAGGTATGTGCCCTTAGAGGGAACTGAACCCAGGTCTCTGTGGACCGCAGGCCGACGCTCTAACTGCTGAGCCAAATCGGCCAGGGCCAGAATAATATTTCTTAAAATTTATCTTTACTAAATTATTCTTCTATTTGACAATCTTGAATGGCTCTCTATTGCCTATAATAAGAGTTGACTGCTCTAACAGCTTTTCAGGGACTTCTATAATCTAGCCACAATTCTATGAGTATAAAAAACAAAAAAATTTAAATAGCATTATCACAAGTCAAATATTAGTGTTTTATCACAAAGTTAAATATAAATCAAAACTATGTAAGAGTCAAAAATCTGGCATACTATTAATTCTGTTGGGCACTGTTTGTTAATACTCCTAAAATTGTTTTTATTACATACTCCATTCTAGAATACCTAGATTGTATTTAGGAAGCAAGCCAGTAATCAAAAGGTATTAATAGATTTATCCATAATACAAGGATACACTTATATTGAAACAAAGATATGGGAAAAAATTAATGGGATTTCTAATGTTATAATTTAGTCAATACTGGCAGGTAAGTGCCAGGCCACCAGGCACAAAATAAATTAAGCTGAGAATATTCAATGTATAGTTTTTGCTTTGAGTTCTTACTAGTTGAAGCAATTGGTTTTTGTTTGTTTGTTTTGTTATTGTTAATCCTCACCCGAGGATATTTTTCCATTGATTTTTTGATAGAGTAGAAGGGAAAGAAACATCGATGTGAGAGAGACAAATCGATTGGTTGTTTCCCGCACAAGTCAGGGATCAAACCTGCAACCTAGGTACGTGCTCTTGACAGTGAATCAAACCGAGACCAATTGGAACCACAGGCCGATGTTCTAACCACTAAGCCAAACTGGCCAGCGCACAAATGGTATTTTTGGCCTATAACATATTACTTAAAGATTCTTAGTTCTGTAATACTTAGAAGGTATTTATTTAGCACTTATACATGCCATTTCTTATTAGTCACTTTGCCTAAGAGTATGTGTTCTTGGATGATAGAGACAAATGTTGCAAAAAGTTCCTGTTCATTAATGCTCTTCAGCTCCCCAGGAACATCCAAACGCCTAGGGAATTTACCGAATCAAAACCTAGAAACAGCCCTGGCCAGTTTGCCTCAGCAGTTAGAGCGTCAGCCTATGGTCCAGAGAGACCCAGGTTTGGTTCCCGCTAAGGGCACGTACCTCAGTTGCAGTTTGTCCCCAGTCCTGGTTGGGTCATGTGGGAGGCAGCCACTTGATGTGTCCCTTTCACGTCGATGTTTCTCCCTCTCTCTCTCTCCTTCCCACTCTATCTGAACAAAAAATGGAAGAATGTCCTCGGGTGAGGATAAAAAAAAAATGTCCTCAGGTGAGGATTAAAAAAAAACCCTAGAAGCAACAAGCAGGTATGGAAGTATTTTCTCAGATATTGTGAGGATTAAATGCCAGGTTGGTACTTTAAAGGCCATGAGAATGACTCCTTAAATTTTGTGCCCTAGGTGCCACCTTGCTTCACCCTAGTCCTGACCCAGAGTAGAGCCAGGAATACTGCTAAACATCCTAAAGTGCATAGAACAGTCTCCCATGACTATTACCTGGCCCAAAATGTCAACAGTGCTAAAGTTAAGAAACCCTGGTAATAACACTAAGTGGGAAAGAATCCCAGCTCCATAACATATTAGCTAAGTAACCTTCAGCAAATCATATAACCTCTCTAAGGTAGCTTCCTCATGTATAAAATGGATAACATGCTTATGTTGAAGGATTTAGGAGGATAGACTGATACAGAAGCCTTTCAGACACTCTACAAATGTTAGGTTCCATTCTTCAGAGTGAGTACAAAAATCTTCTCTATCAGAGATAGAGCTCTGGTCCTTTCAGAGATCATTTAAAAATATGATTTACTGTCTGAATCTCCTGTCAAAGTCTATGCAACTTGAAGGCAGGGTCCTTACCTTATTGGACTTTGTATCCTCAGCCTCTACAACAAAGTGTTGGGTAGCTTTTAAATGGCCAAATGGGCTCTCAGTATCTACCCACAACAACAAAGCATTCATTGCACTGCACTGTGGAGAAATATCAAAGAATGTATGAAAACAATTTCTGGCCTGGAGAAATGTTAAAATAGTAAGAGATGCCTAACAACAAAACAGATTTAACAAGTAAAGATACTCAAAAAAAAGCTCATAGATTGATGGGTAAAATTCACATAAATAGCTAAGTCACAAATGTATACCAATTAGATGCACACAAAAGTTAGAATTAAATAGATTTAATCAGGGAGGCCTATTTTTTTTAATTAGTATAATCCTTCAGAGTACATGCAGCTAATATCTTACAAAGACAGTGAAACAGTATACTTAAAGAAGAAACATCAAAATGACAAGTTCTATCATTTGTCATGTTAGCAATACTCAGCCAAATTTCATAATTCAGATGATGGTAGCATATTTTAATAGGTTCAAAGGCCATTTTAAGCAATTTTTAAACCACACTGGATTTTAATGGAAACTTATCAAATTCCTGACATCCACAATCCGTCTTAATTATCTTAAATGGCCTGAGAAAGAATAAAACCAAAAGGGCTCATGCCCAAATGTCTGAATACTTTGCTAAAAGGCTGAGCTCAAGCATACCCAAAGTGTGTTAGAAGCAACTTTTTAAATGCACAAATATAACAATTATTTTTAAACCAACAATTTTAGAAAAATAGTAGTTATTAGCTAAAGCTTATATAAATATGACACTACATTTGCAAATGTCAGCAGAGTTTTTTAAGATCCCTTTCTAAAGTAATAGTCTCCCTCTATTTTGCTCGGTATCTTAATTTGCCTTTAGTTCAAAACTAAACTTGCCAACACTATTCCTCTCAAAACCTCAGGAATTCCATTACTAGTTTTCAGCTAAATTAAAGGAAAAGAGACTCATTCAACCCATGGCAGAAGTATGCACAAAGTGTTTGTTGATGCTCATAAATAGACTGAGAAATTTAGACATGTCTGAAGGACAACGGCCGTATAGTTAACTCTGCTTTGCTCCACCGTGGAACTGAATAGAAAGAGAATTATTGCTACTACTTCAAGTGAGACCAGAACAGATACCTTTAAACCAACTAGGATATAACAGACAGAACATTCTCTTTAAGTCAGAGACTGTGTGTGTTTCACTTCAGGGAAGAATGGTTAGAGTACCCTTAAAGAAATATGCACAGGGAGCCAAGCTATTACTGTCTTCTCCTCCAAAAACAATGCTTAAATGCCGTCAACAACGCCCACCCACTTGTCTCAAAACAAAACAAAAACAGTAAGATGAAAGAGAGAGAGAGAGAGAGCGCGCGCGCACGCGAGAGAGCGAGAGCGCGCGAGCGAGCGCATGCCCTGGTCAGTGTGGCTAAGTTGGTTGGAGCCTCATCCCATACACCAGAAGGTGGTAGGTTCGATTCCTAGTCAGGGCACATGCCCAGGTTGCAGATTCAACCCCCAGGAGGGGCATATGTGGGAGGCAATGAATCAATGTTTCTCTCTCACATCATTGTTTCTTTCTCTCCCTCTGTCTCTAAAAATCAATTTAAAAAAAAGAACAAGCTAAATGCTTAACATACAGATGGTTCTTCGTCTTAGCACTAGAATTCTTTTCCATTCTGTTTCCCTATTCTCAGACTCTATAAACCTTCCTGACAGTTACAGACATTGTCACTCTTCATCCTGCTCCATCACCTCCAACAAGCCCTAATTCATCTCAACTCACCTGAATCACAGGTATCAGGATCTCCCGAATGGGACTAATAAAAGAAGAAAGTTACTGTGAAAGAAAAGGAAGGAAAATCCCATCTTTCCCATTTCCTTGCTCCCTCCCTTTACTTTGTCCAGCCCTGCAGAGTAGCAACAAATGGGAGGAATACACCACCTTAATTTCATTCTGCTATTTCTCACTTACCTCTAACTCAATTCACTGCTCCCTCTAGGCATCAGCTCCTTGGGCATCACCCTATGTAACTCTACTCCCCTGCCACAGATCATTGAAGTCACAACCAAGGGCCTAGATTTTAGGGAGACCCAGTTACCTAACACAGGGATGTAGCAAGATAAACTGAGTTTCCACAGTGTAAAAAAGGGTGGTTAGAATATACTGATAGAATGGGTTACGTCATTTTTACTGCCTGACCTAGTGAAATAAACGCCATTGTTGTTGTTTTTTAAGAATTTTTTTTTTCTTCTTCTTCTTAAGAATAATTTACTCATTTTTAGAGAGACAGGAAGGGCCAGGGAGAGAAACATCAATGTCATCGGATCAGCTGCCTTCCGTAAACCCCCTATTAGGGACCGAACCCTCAACCTGGGCATGAGCCCTTGACAGGAATCAAACCTGCAACCTCCTGGCACACAGGCCAATGCCCAACCAACTGAGTCATACTGTCCAGGGCTTAACAACATTCTTAAATGACTTATTAGAAATATAGGCCTAATTCCAAATTCTTCTTTTTAACTACCTATTTCCCTTCCCCCTATTCTCCTAGCCAAAATACTTTTTAAACAATTCATTTACAAGATAGAGGCTACCTATATAAAAGAGTAAAATTAAAGTAACTACTAGTTATTAAAACAATACATTTTTAACAAAGTAAATAAGTGAATGCCAGTAGCTTGTGCAACATGAAACCATGCTCGCAATCACATAATGAATAAAATAAATCTAATACAAACGAGTATTACTCAGCCATAAAAAGAATGAAATCTTACCATTTGTGACAGCATGGATGGACCTAGAGGGTATTATGGCTAAGTGAGTAAGTCAGAGAAAGACAAATACCATATGATTTCACTTATTTGTAGAATCTAAAGAACAAAATAAATGAACAAACAAAATTGAAACGACTCATAGATACAGAGAATAGGCTGATGGCTGCCAGAGGGGAGGAGATTTGGGGAACTGGCAATATCTATTAAAAATGTTCATTCATGTATCTATTGGCACACAAATTCCATCTCTAAAATTTAAATTACTGCTATATTTGCACAGATGTGAAATATGTATGCAATACTTGCTGCCATGTTATTTATAAAAGCAAAAAATAGGAAACAAGCTTAATTTATAGTACAATGGGTACTATGCAACCAATAAAGAGTGGATATGGTTGTAAATGTAGGAAAACTTGCTACAAATATCAACTGCCTCTGGGGAGGAGACCTAGTAGACAGGGAGGTAAGGAAGAGAGACTTGCTTTTCATAATAAACCTTTCTGTACCTTTAAATTTTGGGTGATGTACACATATAACCCTTTTGTTAAAAATAAGTTTAAAATTTGCTAAAGTATTTAGACCATTTACGCCAATCCTCTGATGCATCATAGTTCTAGATCCTTATCTGCAGACAATGTTCATTAAAAATAAGAATCTAAGCTACTAGACTCTATTATCTAGAGGTTACCAGTAACCAATATACTAGGGTTGTGTATACTACACACATTAACATTTAAATTTAAATTCATTTCCTCCAAAGTACAAAAAGATACAACTATGGCAACTTTACATCAATCAAAACAAAATATAATAGATAAAAAATAGATGAAGAATTTGTCTTACCCAAAGCAACCTTTATTACAGAAATAAAATTGGATACGATATAATTTTGTCAGCACTCTAAAAACCATGCTTTGTCAAAAGGAAAAAAATCTATCTGGCTGGGTTTTCTGGTTAGGGTCTACATGTACCAGAAATATTTTGTAAAGAACCTAAGAAGTGCCAAAGCCATCTGAATCCAAAAGGCAGTTCAAAACAAGGGAAAGGGGAGGACAAAGTCATGGGCAATAGATTTCAAATTCCAAAAGAACAAACTTTTTTTTTTAAAACAAGTATTACAACAGAATTGATTGTGGTTTTTTAAAACTGATTTGAGAGAGAGAAAAACATTCATCAGCTGCCTCCCACACCAACCCCGACTGGGGATGGACGGAACCAGCAACCCATGTATGTGCCCTGACCCGAAATAGAATCTGCAACCATTTTGGTGTACATGACGATTCTCCAACCAACTAAGCCACCCGGCTGGAGCAGAACAAACTTTTAAGATACTGTTTTTCTAATAGAATTTTTCTCTTTATCTCTTAAATTCCAAGTAAAACTGAAAACATAGCTGTCCCTCATAATTAGAACTCAAAAAGGTGAATGAAACAATTCAAACTCTTTTTCAAACTAATTTTTAAATGTTATTTAATGAGATTTTTGGTTTTGCTACTAGATAGAGATTAATGTAACAGCAGCTAATTCTAAGTTGGTCCCTTCTTCTTCCTCTGATTCAAAAGTATTACAATCTCACTATTTGATTATAAAACCAGAAAACTAGAGAAAAAAAAAATCTTGAAGAGGGGTACATAATATGGCAAAATTTAGGAAGAAGATCATATTTATTTTTTGTTTTTAAAAAATCCTTTTATTGCCCTGGCTGGTTTGGCTCAGCGGTTAGAGCGTCAGCCTGCAGACCAATGAGTCGCGGGTTCAATTCCGGTCAAGGACACGTGCCTTGGATGCGGTTCCTCCCTGCCCTGGTCAGGTCATGCGGGCGGCAACCAGTTAAACTGTCTCTATCACATCGATGTTTCTCTGTGTGTCTGTGTGTGTGTCTCTCTCTCCCTCCCTCCCACTCTGTCTAATGATAAATAGAAAAATATCCTCAGGTAAGGAATAAAAAAAAATCCTTTTATTGACTCTTGTTAACAACATTATGACTTGGCCGTGTAAGCAGACTGCTATATCACTACAAACAAATTTTAATTTTACAAACTTAATGATCTGGTTTAAAAACAAACAAAAAAAAATCAAACTATATAGCCCAAAAGTTTGTTGACATAATCAATTACAGTCTCACGAGGTCTAGAATAAACTCAGTAAATGAAAGATGCTAGTTGGCAAACAAAAAATTAGTACATTCATTTGCCAGATTCAATCACTCAGACTAATGCAAAAAAACAAACAAAGAAAACCCAACTTCATGAAATAAAGGTACACTTAAGAAAGGAGGTAAAGCCCTGGCCAGTTTGGCTCAGCGGTTAGAGCATCGGCCTGCAGTCCAGAGAGACCTGGGTTCGGTTCCCGCTAAGGGTGCATACCTCGGTTGCGGTTTGTCCCCAGCCCTGGTTGGTCGTGCAGGTGGCAGCTGCTCGATGTGTCCCTTCACATCGATGTTTCTCTCTCTCTCTCTCTTCCTCTCTCTCCCTCCCACTCTATCTGAACAAAAAGTGGAAAAATGTCCTCAGGTGAAGATTAAAAGAAAAAAAAAAAGAAAGGAGGTAAAAACTGCCTCAGAATTAGTATTACATATCTTGACATTTACAAAGAAAAAGGACAAGAATGTTATCAACTAATAATTTTCATTTTTATTCTGTATTATTTTATATTTATGGCTCAAGAGTATCTGAGGTACCTGATACTCAAAGAATAATGCTAATCATATCAAAGTCAGGGATTAACACTATACATATAAACATATAAATTTGTATCGATAGTTTCCAATTCTGAACCCAGGACCACCTAAGATAGGAACAGAGAGTTCCTTAAGCTATTTTCAAGATTTAAAAATAGCCTAATAGCCCTGGCCAGTTTGGCTCAGCGGTTGGAGCATCGTCCTGCAGACCAGAGAGCCCCAGGTTCGGTTCCCACTAGAGGCACATACCAAAAATAAATAAATAAAAATAGCCTAATAGCCTCATAATCTGTATGAAATAGAGCTTTGTACACTAAGATAACCAAATTTCATTTTGAGGGCTGGAATCAAATCTTAATGTGGTTGGCCAGTCAGTGTGGCTCAGTTGGTTGAGCACCTCCCATGCACCAGGAGGTTGTAGGTTCAATTCCCAGGCAGGGCACATGCCTGGGTTGTGGACTTGATCCCCAGTAGGGGGTATACAGGAGGCAGCTGACTGATATTTTCATCAATGTTTCCTTCTCTCCCTCTCCTTTCCTCTCTCTGAAATCAATAAAAACATATTTTTTAAAAAACTTAAAGTGGTAATACCAATTACCTCACAGTGATTAGAAGCTCTGGTTATAGTTATAGGCTTCAACAATAAAAATAGAAAACCCAGTGCCTGGCTGGTGTAACTTAGTGGTTGAGCACTGACCCATGCACCAAGAGGTCTCCAGTTCGATTCCCAGTCAGGGCACATGTCCAGGTTGTGGGCCCGATCCCCAGTGGGGGGCATGCAGGAGGCGGCCAATCAATGTTCTCTCTCATTGATATTTCTATCTGTCTGTCTGTCTCTCTCTCCCTCTAAAATCAATAAATAAATAAATATTTTTAAAAAAATAGAAAACCCAATGAATAATTATGTAATAAGTGTATTTTATTTTGTGGAAAAACGTCTTTGGATTTTAACACCTAAAAAGTTAATGTTCTAGAAAAGCAAAAAGCAAACTAAAAATACATACCAGACTCTACACATTGACAAAACGTTTATCAGGACAAGGTTTGTATGTGCTAGGTGAGAACAGAAAGACACGTATGAATTATAAAAATATATAAATATATTATCGTTTTCTTTAAATTCTAATGGTTTAATTGATGCTTTAAAAAATAATAAGTACCCTGGCCAGTGTGGCTCAATTGGTTGGGCATTGTCCATGTACCAAAAGGTTGCTGGTTCAATGCCCAGTAGGGGCATGCAGGAGGGAGCCGATCAATGTTTTGCCCTCTCCTTCTCCCTTCCTCTCTCTAAAAAAAAAAAAATTGAAAATCTTTAAAAAAAGAAAGAACAAGTAATGACAAAGGATCAAAATGACCAATCAGATCCCAAACTATCAAGGAAATTTAGGAGGAAGAGTCTATGTCTATGTTCTCCAACTCCATTTTTCCTCCTTACTCTCTTTTATTTCACAATTACCTCAGCAGTTACAGCTCTACAAGATCTTATCCACAGTTCTCACCTATACATATCCAAAAAAAATTTAAAAGAAATTATAAGCCTAATTTTCACCTTGGAATGCACCCTCATTTTTAGACAGTGTTTGTGCAAAAGAAAGACTAAGGAGCAAAATGAAACGAGGACTCAAGATAAGAGATAACTACAAGAACACTACCTCAAACATGATCTGAAAACCACTCAAGAATACTTGATGACTGGGTAAATCTGTTGACATCTGGGCATCTAGCATCTCTACAGCAGGTTAAGGGAACATGCTATATGTGAACCTATACAAATCTAGATACAAATCCTGAGGCTCCATCACTTATTACCTGCCTGACCTTTGGATTATTACTTAACTCTCTGAAGCCTCAGTTTTCTCATCTATAAAGTAGAAATAAGAACAATTAATTTAGTAGAAACTCTTTTAACACATCTCTCCTTTATCAACTTACAGAAATACAGCTTTTCAATCCCTCCATAAATCACTCCCTCGTGCCTACCACGGGGTTATCACTTGCACCTGGTAGAATCTTCTAAGTAGACCACTTTTCTAATATATCCCCACCCTGTTGTTCTCACCAAAGGAGC